AACACTGCACTTGGCCAATGTGCTTCCTCCTCTGTAGCTGGGATAACAGGTTTGTGCTTCCATGACTAGCCATTGGTTAAGATGGAGTCTCATAAACTTTCTTCTTCTTTTTTTTTTTTGGTCATGGGGCTTGAACTTAGGCCCTGGGTGCTGTCCCTGAGCTCTTTTGCACAAAGCTCATGCTCTACCACTTTGAGGCACAGTACCAGTTCCAGCTTTTGAGTGGTTAATTGGAGATAAGAGTCTCATGGGAGTTGGGCGCCGGTGGCTCACGCCTGTAATCCTAGCCAATCAGGAGACTGAGATCTGATGATCGTGGTTCAAAGCCAGCCTGGGCAGGAAAGTCTGTGAGACTCATCTCCAGGGCTGGGAAGGTGGCTTAGTGGTAGAGCGCTTGCCTTGCATGCCTGAGGCCCTGGGTTCGATTCCTCAGCACCACATAAGCAAAAAGAAAAAAGTCTGAAGTGGTGCTGTGGCTCAAGTGGTAGCTAGCCTTGAGCTGAAGAGCTGAGGGACAGCACCCAGGCCCAGAGTTCAGGCCCCACGACCGGACCCCCTCTCCCCCCCCAAAAAAAAAGACTCATCTCCAATAAACACTCGAAAACCAGAAGTGGCTCTGTGGCTCAAGCTGTAGAGTGCTCACCTTGAGCTGAAGAGCTGAGGGACAGCGCCCAAGCCCAGAGTTCAAAGCTCCATGACGGACAAAAAAAAAAAAAAAAGAATCTCCTGGGGACTTTTCTCTCTTGCCTGGCTTTGAACCCCAATCCTCAGATATCATCCTCCTGAGTAGCTATGATTACAGGCATGAGCCAACAGTGCCTGGCCTTATAAACTTTGTTATGCCCAGGCTGGCTTCAAGCACCCATTTCATGATCTCCACTTCTCAAGTAGCTAGGATTAAGTCACTGTACATGGCCTTCTCCTTCCATCATAGAACAAATGTTCTTTCATTTCAGTAATACATACTTTTTGTCACCTCAGGGAGCAGTGATGTTCAATGATGTATCTGTAGTCTTCTCTCAGGAAGAGTGGGAATCCCTGGACTTGGAACAGAAGGACTTGTATAGAGATGTGATGTTGGAGAACTATAGCAACTTGATCTCACTGGGTAAGGTTATCTGCCTTTAATTTATTATTATTTTTATTTTGTGTGTTTGTGTGCTGGACCTAGGGCTTGAACTCAGAGACTGGACACTCTTCCTAAGCATCTTTTGTTCAAGGTTAGTACTCTACCACTAGAGCAACAACTCAACTTCCAGCTTCCTGGGTGATTAATTGTAGATAAGAATCTCAGGCCAGGCTCTGGTGGCTCACACCTGTAATCCTAGCTGCTCAGGAGGCTGAGGTCTGACGATTGTAGTTCAAAGCCAGCCTGGGCAGGAAAGTCTGTGAGACTCTTATCTCCAATAAACCACTAGAAAACCAGAAGTGGCACTGAGGCTCAAGCGCTTGCCTTGAGCTGAAGAGTGCAAGGACAGCGCCCAAGCCCAGAGTTCAAGCCCTACAACCAACAACAACAAAAAAAGAATCTCAGGACTTTCCTGTCCAGACTGGCTTTGAACCACAATCCTTACATTGTATCCTCCTGAGTAGTTAGGATTACAGGAGTGAGCCATCGGCACCTGGCTTAGTTATATGACTTTAGAAATTAGACTGGGTTCTCTGTAACATCAACTTTAGCCACTGGATATTTTGAGAGTATATTTCAAGAAACAGTTTCATTTTCTGCTCCCTGTTTAAGGGAGTGGTTTTATCTGTATTACATTGCAAGTGAGCACCTGAAAAAGGAACATACACATATTGGTAAAACTGGGTTTTGCGCTCACAACTTTGTAATTGTTATGCATACCCTCTACCTCTTGAGCCGTGCCTCTAACCCTTTTTGCTTTTAGCTATTTTTGAGAAGGAATCTTATCTTTTGCCAAGTTATATCTTGGGACCCTGATCTTTACACAAAGTAGGTGGATTCCAGATCTGAAACACCACTTGCAGCTTGGTTTTCGAAATTGGGTCTTGTTTAGTCTTTTTTTTGGGGGGTGGGGGGCGGGAGGGTGGTCTTGGGGCTTGAAATCTGGGCCTGGGCACTGTCCCACAGCTCTTGAGCTTAGGACTAACACTCTACCACTTGAGCCACAGTACCACTTCTGTTTTTCTGGTGGTTAATTGGAGATAAGAGTCTCATGGATGGAGCTGGGAAGGTAGCTCAGTGGTAGAGTGCTTGTCTTGCATACATGAGGCCCTGGGTTCGATTCCTCAACATGACATAAGCAGAAAAAGCCAGAAGTGGCACTGTGGCTCAAGTGATAGAGTGCTAGCCTGGACTGAATAGCTGAGGAACAGCACCCAGGCCCTGAGTTCAGGCCACATGACCCACAAAAAAAAAGTCTCATGAAGGGCTGGGAAGCTGGCTCAGTGGTAGAGTGTTTCTTTTGTATGTACGAGGCCCTGGGTTCGATTCCTCAGCATGACATAAGCAGAAAAAGCCAGAAGTGGCACTGTGACTCAAGTGGTAGAGTGCTAGCCTTGACCTGAAGAGCTGAGAGACAGCGCCCAGGCCCAGAGTGTAGGCCCAGCTTTCCCTGAGCTTTTTTGCTCAAACTAATGCTCTACCAGTTTGAATTACAGCATTACTTACGGTTTTCAGGTGGTTACTTGGAGATAAGAATCATGGACTGCTGAAGCTGGCTTTGAACTGCAGTTCTTAAGATCTCAGCCTCCTGAGTAGCTAGTATTATACACATGAGCCATTAGTGCCCAGCTCTTTATTTTTTAATAAGGTTTCACATTTATGCTGGACCTTAGTCGTCTTATTTATGCTTCCTACATAACTGGGATGATAACTCCAAACCATTGCATCTAGCCTGAAATTTTTTTTTTTTGGGGGGGGGGTCCAGTCATGGGGCCTGAACTCTGGGCTTGGGCGCTGTCCCTCAGCTCTTCAGCCCAAGGCTAGCACTCTACCACTTGAGCCACAGCGCCACTTCCAGCTTTTTTCTTATGTGGTACTGAGGAATTGAACCCAGGGCCTCGAGCATGCAAGGCAAGTGCTCTACCACTGAGCCACCTTCCCAGCCCCTAGCCTGAAATTTTTGTTCTGTATTACCTTACATGTTTTTTTCTTCTAAGCAGGATGCTTCATTTCAAAACCAAATGTGATATCCATGTTGGAGCAAGGAAAAGAGCCATGGAAAGTTGTGCGGAAAGGAAGAAGAGGACACCCTGGTGAGTGAGGGGCAGTGTAGCTAGTTGAGCAAGAGGCATATTCTCACATTACATTCCATCATTTATTCCTTAGAAAAGACCAGACAACAAAGGAAATTAAGAAGGAACAGCCACTGAGAAAAATGAAAACAAAAACATATATTGAAAAAAGTAGAGAGTGAGAAGTAAGAAATTCTCACTAAGGTGTTGCTAAGGTAGAGAATGCTGGAAAGCTTGTGGAGAATTATTTCAGTAGAGGCCAGGTTCAGTCCTGATTGGAGTGGGGAAAGGAGAGAAACATAAGACAAGGCAATGTTGCAAATGAGCCTATGACAGCTCTCTGAAGGAACTGTGTATGAAGGGAAACTGATCAGTGAGTAGGGGTGTCATTATATTGCAAGTTGTATTTTTTATTTTTATTTTTTGCCAGTCCTGGCGCTTGAACTCAGGACCTGGGCACTCTTCCTGAGCTTCTCTTGCTCAATCTAGCATTTTATTACTTGAGCCACAGCACCACTTTTGGCTTTTTCTTTTTGCCAATCCTAGAGCTTGAACTCAGGTCCTGGGCACTGTCCCCTAACCTCTCTGTGCTCAAGACTAGCACTCTACCACTTGAGCCACAGCACTACTTCTGGCTTTTTCTGTTTATATGGTATTGAGGAATGGAACCCAGGGCTTCATGCATGCTAGGCAAGCACTTTACCACTAAGCCACTTTTCCAGTGTGTATTTTTTATTTTTGTGTGCCAGTCCTAATGCTTGAACTCAGGGATCTTCTTTTGCTCAAGGCTAACACTACCACTTGAGCTCTACTTCTAACTTTTTTTTTTTTTGGGTCCAGTCATGGGGCCTGAACTCTGGGCCTGGGCGCTGTCCCTCAGCTCCTCAGCTCAAGGCTAGCGCTCTACCACTTGAGCCACAGCGCCACTTCCGGCTTTTTTCTTTTTGCTTATGTGGTGCTGAGGAATCGAACCCAGGGCCTCATGCATGCAAGGCAGGCGCTCTACCACTGAGCCACCTTCCCAGCACCTCTAACTTTTTTGGTAGTTAGAGATAAGAAACTCACAGACTTTCCTGGCCAAGTTATCTTCAAGCCAGGATCCTCAAATCTCATCTTTCTGAGTAGCTAGGGTTACAAGCATGAGCCATTAGTGCTCAGCAGGAATTGTATTGCAAGTAGTATATTTTAGTTTATATATTTCTGAAAATGTTCTGTAAGTGGAACATGTTGAAACAGCAGAGAGGGGGAAACACTGGGGGTTGGGGTGAAGAAAAGTAGGTTGATCTGAGTGATGCAGAGAAGGCCACAGAACAAAGTGATTTTTCTTCTTCTTTTTTTTTTTTTCAGAGCTGAGGACCAAACTCAGGGCCTTGTACCTGCCAAACAAGTGCAAAAGTGATTTTTTTGAAAAAAACAAAACAAAAAAACAAGTAGCAGCTATGAGCTAGTGGCTCATGTTTCTAATCCTAGAAATTGGTTGAATATTGCTTTTGTTGTCTTTTCATTTTCACTATAGAAATTACTTCTTGCTTTCTTGGTTTGTTTTAGATTTGGAGACTCAGAGGTCATCTTCAGAAAATGACCTTTTTGAAATCAGTTTGTCTCAATGGAAGATATTGGGAAGAATTAAAAACCACGGCCTTCAGGACCATGTTTTGCAAAATGATCAAGATTCCAAAAGACAACTTGCAGGACAAGAGGCACTTCCAGAGGGCTATTTGAGTCAAGTGAAAATGACATCTGAAAAAGTGTCCTCTTATCAGAAGCACACATCTGCTGCTCCACAGCAGAGAATTCAGTTTATGGAGAAACCCTACGAGTGCAAGGAGTGTGGGAAAGCCTTCAGAGTGCGCCAACAGCTTACTTTTCATCACAGAATTCACACAGGAGAGAAACCCTACGAATGCAAGCAGTGTGGGATGGCCTTTAGGCAGACCGCCCACCTCACTCGACATCAGAGACTTCACTCCGGTGAGAAGCTCCATGAATGTAAGGAGTGTGGGGAAGCTTTCCTATATGGCCCTGACCTTAGAGTCCATCAGAAAATCCATGTCGGTGAGAAGCCCTACGAGTGTAAAGAATGTGGGAAGGCCTTCAGAGTGCGGGGACAGCTTACTCTCCACCAGAGAATCCACACTGGTGAGAAGCCATATGTGTGTACAGAGTGTGGGAAGGCCTTCAGGCAGTATGCACACCTTAGTCGCCACCAGAAGCTCAACACTGCAGACCGAATCTATGAATGCAAGGAGTGTGGGAAGGACTTCCTGTGTGGCTCGGGCCTTCGGGTCCATCACAAGCTTCACACTGGTGAGAAGCCCTATGAATGTAAAGAATGTGGGAAGGCCTTCAGAGTGCGCCAGCAGCTCACACTCCATCAGAGGATTCATACTGGTGAGAAGCCCTACGAATGTAAGGAATGCGGGAAAACATTTAGTCGGGGTTATCATCTAATTCTCCATCACAGAATTCACACTGGCGAAAAGCCTTATGAGTGTAAGGAGTGCTGGAAAGCCTTCAGCCGTTACTCACAGCTGATTTCCCATCAGAGTATTCATATTGGGGTGAAGCCCTACGACTGTAAGGAGTGCGGGAAGGCCTTTCGTCTCCTCTCCCAGCTGACCCAGCATCAGAGCATTCATATTGGTGAGAAGCCCTATCAATGTAAGGAGTGTGGGAAAGCCTTTCGGTTGCGTCAGAAGCTTACTCTACATCAGAGCATTCACACTGGGGAAAAGCCCTTTGAGTGTAAGGAATGTAGAAAGGCTTTTAGACTTAACTCTTCCCTCATTCAGCATCTGCGAATTCATTCGGGTGAGAAACCTTACGAATGTAAGGAGTGTAAAAAGGCCTTTAGACAGCACTCACACCTTACCCATCACCTCAAAATTCACAGTGTCAAAATGTAAGACACATTCTATGAATGTTGTAATCTTCTGCCGCACACCTGTACTTAACTCAGCCTAAGAGGTTTTTCTGCTCTTAAAGGAATGTGATAATGTATACCATTATTGCATTCCCCAGTCTCCATTCTCAGACTTCTCGCTTCTGCATATTTGTTTAGGAAATTATATTAATATAACAAATGTAGAAAGTGAACTTACCCCATTCATTTTCCTACCTATGTTATATTAAACAAAATACTTAACTGCTCTAGGCTCTTAATTTCTTCCCTTGTGAAATGGGGATAGAAGACTTTAGGCAAAGATGGCTGTCAATTCTTTGATAATGCTTCCATAAAAAATGGAATCCTGACCCCCTCTTGAACATGGGCAGACCGTGTACTGCAGTGCCCAGTAGACCATACCTAGTAGAAGTACTGCTGAGCCAATTTCTCTGTCTCTTTCCTCATAGGGTTACTTCATGTCTTGAAATACCCTACAGAGCACTAGTGCTTAATAGAACTTTAAAAAACAAAAACAATATTGCCAGATAAGCACAGGAGCTCCATGCACTCTCATCATTGAAGTGCCTATCAAAAGACAGAGGTGGGCACGGTATTGCATACACAGGAGAATGTAGAATTTAAGGCCAGACACTGGCAGGCACCAATGGCTCCTATCGGTATTATACTGGCATAAAAGACAAAAAGCCACAGTAAATTTGATTGCATAGTGAGTTTGAGGCCCACTTGGCCAACATAGAGTCAAGAGACTCAGCTCTAGAAATAAAACTACTTAAAAAAGAAAAGGTGGTTTTCTTTTTGTTGTTGTTTAATGTAAAACAATATGTGAAACTTACTGTGAAGGACTTTCAGGATAGAAATGTCAACATAAAAGCTTATAGACTGTTACTTGCCTTAGCAAGGAAAGCAACTGATAATCATGTTATTTAAGCAACTATTTGCTTTTAAAAGAATTTTTTTTGCGGGGGAGGGGAGTCAGGTCGTGAGGTCTGAACTCTGGACCTGGGTGCTGTCCCTCAGCTCTTCAGCTCAAGGCTAGCATTCTACCACTTGAGCCACAGCACCACTTCCGGCTTTTTTCTGCTTATGTGGTGCTGAGGAATTGAACCCAGGGCCTCAAGCATGCAAGGCAAGCACTCTACCACTGAGCCAACTTCCCAGCCCCAATTTTTTTTAACTTAAAATGGTGCTTTTTAGGGGCTGTGTGTAGTCAGTGAAAAGCACTTGCATAGCATGTGTGAGCCCCTGGGACCTACCCAAAACCACCAAAAAGAAAAAACAAAACCAACAAAACAGCTGGGCACACGTGGCTCTTACCTGTAATCCTAGCTACTCAGGAGACTGAGATCTGAGGATGCAACTCGCTGCCAGCCCAGGCAGGAAAGTCTGTATGACTTATCTCCAGCTAATCAGCAAAAAGCTAGAAATGAAGCTATGGCTCAAGTGGTAGAGCACCAGCCTTGAGCCAGAGAAAAAGCCCTGAGTTCAAGACCTACAGTCAGTCAGTACACACAAAAGGTGCTTTCCACTGGGATAGGAAACTCTTATTATCTTATATACACTATATGTATTTAAACCCTTTTATCAATCTTCATTTAGGCTAGATGCAATTTCTTACTATGAAAAATGCCTTACTGGATAACTTTTTTTGCTGTTGGTAAGCAAGAGTTTTTCTAAAGTAGGTGCTGAAAATTGGTACTAGGTCAGCTATTATTCACACTTTAAACCTTATTGGATAATTTCTTAAAAGTAGAGACTATTTTGGTGGCTTCAATTACAAGCCTGTAACCAGAGACACATTTCCTTGCATCCCTAAATCTGGTATAGGTTTGAATATTTTCCTGGTTAAACATCTGCTTCATGGCTAAACAATGTAATTGTTCAAATTATATCCTATTCATGTTCCATTAAAAATATCAAGAATTATATTTCATTGTTTATTGAGAAAGTGTCTTGATAAAGTTTCATAGGCTGCCCTTAGACCTGCTACATAGCACAAGTTGGCCTTGAACTTACCATCCTCCTGCTTCAGCCTTCCAAGTACTGGGGTTACAGGTGCATACTACCCAACCTGGGAGAAACATGTCATATTTAGAAATAAAATTCCAGGTAGTAATCACTTACATATTATTACATGCTGGCCTTACCTTCTCCCAAATTGTTATTTATATATGTCTTTATGGTGATATTATCAAGTTGAAATTTAAAATATGATTGCACTCACTGTCTTCATTATTATAAAAGGTATCTCAAAAGTATAAACATGTTTTAAATTTTGTGTTTTACTTGACTCCTTATTTTCTAGGCTATCAATTTTGTCAATAACAAATGAATATTTTTTTTTATCCTGAATACTTGCAGTGTTATCTTATCACTTAGTCTTATTACCATAAAACCTCTGGAATGAGGTGGTGCTAACAGGAATCTAGTCATTTTCCTCAATGGAATGGAAATCACTTAGTGTAATTACCTCTACTTTGAAGGGAATACACTGTTTGGGCTCAGTTGTTTACTGTGATTTCTATTTACCTTTTTATTATAAATGCCTATCGAGTACAATTAGGTGTTGTTGGTACATTCATACAGTGTCTTCTTGAGAGTGTTAATGTGATAAGTTGTGTTGTAGTCGTTAAGAGAATGTAGTATTGGTGCAAGAGTGAAAAAGTAAACCAATGGAGCAAAATAAAGAGCCCTGAAAAAGACTGGTGTATATGTGGTCATGTAATTTGTTATAAGGATCCTCCAGTGTGGTTGGGAAATAAATGGTGATGTTTTCAATCTGTTAGCAACTGACCGGGCACGTATCTATATGGATAAAATATTACTCATCAGTCAGGCGCTGGTGGCTCACGCCTGTAATCCTAGCTACTCAGGAGGCTGAGATCTGAGGATCTTGGTTCAAAGCCAGCCTGGGCAGGAAAAGCTGGGAAACTATCTCCAGTAAACCATCAGAGAACCGGAAGTGGTGCTATGGCTCAAGTGGTAGAGCTCTAGCCTTGAGCTGAAGAGCTGAGGGACAGTGCCCAGGCCAAGTTCAAGCCCCATGACTGACAAAAAAAAAAAAAATTACTCATCCTAGTCACCACTGACTAGCTTTGAGCAAAAGAAGCTCAGGAACTATGCCCAGGCCCTGAGTTCAAGCCCCAGGCCTGGTGCGCCCGTGTGCACACACGCGCGCGCGCGCACACACACACGCACGCACGCACACACAGAGAAGCAAAATTCCAGCATCTTTCCAGATTCATTCCCATTCTGAAAAACTGGACAGCATGCCCACTTCTAGTCCCTAGTGGGCTGATCCCATTTCTTTCTGTACAAAGCTAGGCCAGGACAAATTCAGTATTAACTCCTCTGAGAAATACCTCCCAACAACAATATCTTGTTAATGTTCCCACTTTTCAATCCTCAGGAAGGCATAACATTATAAATATATGTACTCAATAGAGCTTGAAAGCACTTGAGCAAAACCTGAGAACTAAACAAAAATAAGAAACTTGTCAGTAAATCACGTTCTCAGTGGGATCTTTTGGCATCAAACAGTCATTAGAGTTCCTTTATCAGTCTCAGTTGGAACCTTACCAGAGTGAGCAGGGACTTACTCGATAAATAGTTGGCACAGGGCTGGGAAGGTGGCTCAGTGGTGGAGTGCTTGCCTTGCACACATGAGGAACTGAGTTTGATTCCTAAGCACCACATAAGAAAAAGCCAGAAGTGGTGCTGTGGCTCGAGTGGTAGAGTGCTAGCCTTGAGCTGAAGAGCTAAGGGACAGCGCCCAGGCCCAGAGTTCAGACCCCACAACCCCCCCCCCCCAAAAAAAAAAAAGTTGGCACAGTTTCATAAGGTCTTGTGTCCAGTCATCCTGATCTTGTTCTTGTTGGATTGTGAGTTACAGATAAACCATCATCATATGGAGTGTTCTAACCTTTATAGGAATGAAAGACCAGTACTTGAGGGTTTTTTTTGTTTGTTTGTTTTTGGGTCCCGTCATGGGGCCTGAACTCTGGGCTTGGGTGCTGTCCCTCAGCTCTTCAGCTCAAGGCTAGTGCTCTACCACTTGAGCCACAGCGCCACTTCTGGCTTTTTTCCTTTTGCTTATGTGGTGCTGAGGAATGGAACCCAGGGCCTCATGCATGCAAGGCAAGCGCTCTACCACTGAGCCACCTTCCCAGCCCCAGTACTTGAGTTCTTGAGAAAGCACAACGGTGGAGAAACACATCCATTCCAACCACAGCCCTGTATTGTCATCTTGGGTAAAACATTCCCCAAATGATTACCATGTGTCCATGCAGACTACGGTTTTGTGGTTTTGTCCTTTTGTTTGTATTTTGCTAATCCTGGTGCTTGAACTCTGGGCAAGGGCTCTATCTCTGAGTTGCTTTTGTTCAAGGCTAGCACTCTACCACTTGAGCCACAGTATCACTTCTTTTCTGAGTAATTTATTGGAGATAAGAATCTCATCGACTTTACTGCCTGGGCTGGCTTCAAACTGTGGTCCTCCTATCTCAGCCTCCTGAGTAGGTAGGATTACAGGTGCGAGCCACCAGCTCCCAGCCCATTTATTATTGTTATTTGTGCTCTACCACTGAGCCACACCTCAAGTTCTGGCTTCTTTGCTGGTTAATTGAAAATCAGTGTCTCACCAATTTTTATTTCTAGGCTGGCTTTGAACCATGATCCTCAGGTTTCAGTTTCCTGAGTAGCTAGGATATAGCAGATATAATGCCTTTAATAGATTGCAAGTTAAAGGTTTGGAGCTTACTTTTTGTTCCCTGGTAGTGATCCATACCTGTTTCAGTTAAAACTAATCTTAGTTTTTTTTTTTTTTTTTAATAAGTCAGAATTCTAGCTGTGCACTGGTAGCTGACACCTGAAAGACATCTCCAATTAACCACAAGAAAACCGGTGCTATGGCTCAGTGGTAGAGAGCTAGCCTTGAACACAAAGAAGCTCAGGGATGGTGCCCAGGCCCTGAGTTCAAGCTCCAGGACTG